ATATATATATATATATATATATATATATATATTTATATATATGAATTCACATGCACCCATTCAGCATGATGATTTGATTGATTGCTGTGCTCCTGTGACATCACTGGCAGTTTTATGTATGTCAGAGATGCAGCTGAATCCAGATTGGAGCGGATTGAAGGACTGTGTGTGTGTGGGAGAGCGCGTGTGTAAGGAAGAAAGTGAAGGAGAGACACTTGATACAGGTAAATACATGAAGAGATCAGATCTGGATCAACTCGAGAGTTTTAGAGCAGTCCGTGTAATGGAAAGATACATTACGCCACACACCAATCTGATTCCGTTCAATATCAATTTTTAGATTACATTTTATGTCAGGTCTCTGTAAAGATGCAGCCACTAAAATGTAATTATCAAATAGTTATGTAAACAAACAAACATATAAAGTCGTTCTTACTGGAGAAATGCTCTTCTGGCGACATGCCGCGTGCGCCCCCGAGAATTCACAAATAACGGTTCTTCGCGTTTTATTTATTTTTTTTTAATTCACGTGGTTCAGTACTTTCCCGTGGGGTTGCTGTGTGATTGTTTGTGTAAAATTGATCTTCAGCAGAATGTGGACGAGATTGAGCTCCAAATTATAATAATTGACGTGCGTCGCTGGCAGAAGAGGGATAAAAGGGTCTCAAAAGCAGTCGACAAAGCACTTGAAGGTAAGCCTGAAGAATCGCATGGATGTTGGTTAAACGCGAATGACAGTAAAGTCTTAAGGAATCTCCCGGTTTGGTTAGGTAATATAACGGAGAAGCAGGTGTGAGGTCGCCGCCTGTCTCGCTGGATTTTACACTGCTCGAAGAAGCATGAGCATCAGCGCTCAGTTCGCTCGCTGCGTCCCCGTTATCACGCTCGGCGCGGCGCTGTGATTGGCTGACGAATGTACGTCCGTCTGTGATTGGCTGATGTGCGATGTCGTCACAGAAACGCGTACCTGACCAAAGCCGCGTACTGATACAAACTGCGTGTAGCTTGACTAGCTTCACTCCCACAGGAACCAACATAGCGATACATTATTTACCTGTTAACACGCAGATTAAGATGTGTTGGGGACTTGTAAATTGCAGAGCTAAACTGCTAGTCTGACTAAATTTAATCAGATATGCGTAGAGAGAGCCGCTCATGATCAATGCATTGCTGGGTTAATTTGGGTACACTGGTTTGATTATTAGCTTGAGGACCTGGTGAGAAAGGATGAATGTGGTTTGGCAAAAGGAACCGGATTTGAACTGATGTTCCCTGGACCTAGGCTTACTGTTGAACTAATCATGGCCGATTACCTTTAGACAATGTAGTTTGTGAAAATTATTTAATATTTTAAATAATTTTAAAAAAAAATATTTGAAATGTTTGAAAAAACTTTAAGGTACATTTTAGTAATTAAGTATTAAAGCAATTTTTAATTACTAAAATATTTTAAAGTTTTATAATTATAAATTACAATTTTAATTAAGGTTTTTTTTTTTTTAAGCTTGAGGACCTGGTGAGAAAGGGAGGATGAATGTGGTTTGGCAAAATGAACCGGATTTGAACTGATGTTCCCCTGGACCTAAGCTTACTGTTGAACTAATCGTGGCCGATTACCTTTAGACAATGTAGTTTGTGAAAATTATTTAATATTTTAAATAATTTTAAAAAAAAATATTTGAAATGTTTGAAAAAACTTTAAGGTACATTTTAGTAATTAAGTATTAAAGCAATTTTTAATTACTAAAATATTTTAAAGTTTTATAATTATAAATTACAATTTTAATTAAGGTTTTTTTTTATTTTTAAGTCCTTTTTAATATTTAAAGAAATTTTACTCCCATCAATATTCATTTTAAAATGTTTTGCTTACCTGTCATAATACACTCAGGATCTAGTTTGATACTAAAACACATTTGAAGATTTTGTCTCCATTTCTAACTTCTCTAGTTGTTACAATGGACCTAAATAACCCCCTCTAGACCAACGGTATCCTACTATACCATTAAAGCAGTTTGCATCATACTTCAGGGGATAGAAAAGGTCTTTTGCATTTGCCAATCCCAAAGGTACTCACAAAGCAGTATCAAATTTATACAGTACATAATAAATACAAGCATAGCCAAACAGCTGCGAGAAACTATTCAAGTTTAGTAAGTCACCAAAAGCCCCAAAATTCCATAGACTCTGTATTAAGCCTCAAGATCCAGGGGGTATTAAAGGATCTTTTGCAATAAGGGCTTACATGCTGTTCTCTGGAGTTCCCTCAGCTGCAACAGCACAGGAGAAGTGTGTATGTAAATTCAGATGTTTTTCTTCTTCTTCTTTTGACTATGGCATGTGTCATCTAAAGTGACAACATTCTGGGAATATAGCTCTTTGTAATGAAAACAAATGGAATTATAAGGTTACTAAAATGAGAAGTTTATCTTGAATTTAACACGAATGAAAATGAAGCTGTGAAGGACAGACTAAAAGTGACGATACACAGGGCAACTTTTTTGAGCAATGTTGCTAGGGCACTTTCCCATTGAGAACGGGCTACAAATTTCCATCTGGATACTTTAGATGGGTCGTGGGCCCCGTGTCTCACCTGGTTGCCAGCTGACAGTAACATTGCTCAAAAAGTTGCCCCGTGTATCAACGCCTTTAGTCTTTACAGTGGCACGTGCTGTATAAAGGTCCTAGATAATGTACATTCAAAACTGGTTTACAGAGTTTTTGGCTACTAAAAGTGTTTTTGGAAAGATGTTTTGTCAGCTGAACAATCGGTGTGTTGTTGACAGTACAGTCCATTAAACACACTGTATTTCTATCCCTCACAGCCTGGTTTTCATACCTGCCAAAAACTGAATATGGCTCTAGCTCGATTTATTGAATTGAAAGATCTGCAAGAGCAGTACAGCCTAGCTGCCATGCATAAATAAGCAAAGCAGTTGTTAGTTAGAGACCTTGTTAAGTGAAGATAATGCCCTCTTGTGGGGAACACGTAGATTGGTGAAATCTGTTGTGTGTGACAGTTGAGGTTTAATTCCTACAGAAAGTTGACCAGTGAAACCGAAAACACCACCCATACACTCTTCCAGAAGTATGAATTTATTTATTAATTTAACTTAAATATCTGACAATTTATTTGCTTGAAATAGTGCATTAAAATGGAAAAAGCCTACCTGGGCATAACCAAACCTGAGACACAGACACATTATTTGACTAATATATATATATATATATATATATATGAATAAATAATAAATAATTAAATAAATAGCAATATGACAAATAAGTAATATCTTCAATAAATATGCCACATTGAATAAAACTTTTTAAATAAATAATGATTAAATAACTTGTGCAACACCAGCAAACTATATATCAGTGAATGTTGAGCTATTGAAAGAGCCATTTCCCTGTTGAACTCGTGAATATTAAATGATATGTCACTGGAGCAGGGGGTGACAGCTACATAAAGGTAAAGCTTGCAGCAGTGGGTATCTCTTACTGCACCAGCTTTTACTTTCCTAAGCAAGGCTTCACATTAGCGGAAACTGATTCTAGATCAGCATAGGTGTAATTTCTAACACCGTGTCTACACTGGACACGAGCGGCGCCGCACGACGTGACAAAATAAAATAGACCCTATTATTATCAGTGATGCTTGTCTACACTGGATGCGGCGCAATGCGACACAACAGATCCCCAATAGTAAGCTGCTGCCTCGTTCTATTTATGACGTACTGACACAATGTAGAAATGATTTGCAACGGTCGCTTTGTCGCGTCCAGTGTAGACACGGCGTGACAGGACGTCTGGTTCAGAGGTCTTGGTGAAGGTCTCCGTGCTTCTATTTATGACGTACTGACACAATGTAGAAATGATTTGCAACGGTCGCTTTGTCGCATCCAGTGTAGACACGGTGTGACAGGACGTCTGGTTCAGAGGTCTTGGTGAAGGTCTCCGTGCTCTGGCTTTTTGCTTTGCTCGTCTGGATGCCATGAGACCAGACGCTGGTAGCACTCCTGCCGCTGCTGGTCAGGGTCGATGTTCACCCACACACTTCCTGTCCATTTGAAGCCCCGAGTGACTAAGCAGTCGCCGTGGAGAGAGAATTCATCCAACTCTCCAACCCAACCTGACAGAAATAAATGGAAAAGAACAATGGTGAGTTAATTAATATTCATTATGCATACACTACCAGTCAAATGTATGGAATAATTACGATTTTTTGAATGTTTTAATGTTGAATGAAGTCTTCTTTCAAAAACATTCTTAAATCTTTTAACCCACAGTGTTACGCCTGGTGTTGCTATGTGGTTATGATATTTTGGTATGAGCTCAGACTGCTCCTTCAATGCAAGTCCATGGGATAATCAGGCAAAAATCTAATAATAATAAAAAATATAGTCACAAATACAGGAAATGGAGGTATATGAAAAAGAGAAACTCACCATTGCCATCTGAGAGGCGGTTGTACCACAGCAGAGCGGTTCCAGCTACAGGTTTGACCTTCAGATTGCCTTTATCACAGTACTGCTGAGAGAGATCACCTAAGACCTGAAACACACACACACACAGACCCCAAGTGAAGCTGCAGTAACATCAAGTGCCTAAGATGACTAATGGCATAATTCAAGACCGTCTTCCTGTTGCTGCCTGGTTGCTATGGCAACAGAGCTCACCTCCCCCAGTTGCCATAGAAACAGGACATGGCTCACCTCCTCCTCATACGTCCTGTTGTCAGCCACAGGGAAGCTGGTCTCTCCTCCTCCATCCGCCGAGTTCAGATGCAGCAAGACCGTCAGATACCTGTGAAACAGAAATACTTTTATTATGGCGTAACATTTTTAGAAGTCAAACAATAGATTCCAAATGTCTTGTACAGTAGATGTACCTGCATGCGACCTGTGTGGAGGCGGAGTTATTAGCTGCCAGGTGTGTGTGGGCACAGCTGCTGTCGTGATTGGTGAGGCTGCTGTCGTGGTGGGCGTGGCTGTACCCGCCCTGCTCATAACGGACTACTTCCATTGGCTCGCTGAGATCGACCAATGAGGACGGCAGTCGTGTTAAACGGGTCACTCTGGAGAAAAAATGTATAGTTTGTCTGTGCTTTTATTTAGATTAGATTAGATTCAACTTTATTGTCATTGTGCAGAGTAAAAGTACAGAGCCAATGAAATGCCGTTAGCACCTAACCAGAAGTGCAAATAGCAATGTATATATTTGCACGTGTTAAACTAGCTCTACTTTGTGTACTACATCTAGTACAAACATAAGTAGTCATTTAGCAGACTTTTACCCAAAGCAATGTAACAATGTAATGACTTAGAACAATCTTCGTCGGGTGACCTGCGATTAATGGGATAGTTCAGCCAAACATGAAAATTCTGTCATTTACTCACACTCATATATCATTACAATCCAGTATGAGTGTCTTTCTGCTACAGAACAAAACCTTTTCTTTTCTACAGAAACAACTGAAACATTCTTCAAAATGTACTCATTCTTATGTTGTTCCAATATTCAAACCAGTATGACTTGTGTGAAGCATTAAGGAAGATATTTTGAAACAATGAAAATCATTGAGGATTCAAAGAAAAAAAAAAAAAAGGTTCCAACTGGTTTTGTCCAATCAATTAAAGTCAATGAGTCCAAAACAAAACAAAACAAAAAAACAGAGCAAAACAAAACAAACAAAAAGTCTCAACTGTTTGGCATTACAATGAAAGTAAACAAAGCAAAAGGAACAAAACAAAACAAAATAATAAGGTCGATAAGGAAGGCAAAAAAAACCCCATTAGTTTTAATTAAAGTCAATGAGGAATCCAAAACAAAAACAAAAGCCAATGAGGAGTCAAAAAAACAAACAAAACAATGAAACTCAATAAGGAAGCTCAATACTCAATAAACAAATTAAAGTTTATAGTGATAAAAATGTAGAGACAGACCTTTTGCTGCTAATTGTTTATTATATTAATATTTTCTAGATTATAATTATGTATAATTCATATCATACATTAATATAATTAATTATATGAGTTAACAATTAATATTAAACTACATATAAATACAAGGTTCAGTATATAAAGCTTTCTAAACTGATGAAGCTTTTCTTTTGAGCTCCTAGTAATATAAATTAAGTTGAGTCACTTGCATTGATATAGTCAGTAGCTGCCTTCTCAAACTTTCACTGCAGCAGTGTTTATTCCTGCCTTGTAAATGTGTTTCAATTCATGCTATTTTTTCAAAACAATCTCTTCATCTTCAACAGAGAAGTGAATTGTGCTGACTCTCGCGAGGAGTCAATCAAGCCGATGCTTTCCATGTTGCGTGTGATTGGCTGTTTGCCGCACGTGTCACACTTTCAGGTGCACGCGCCTCACAAAATCTGGATCCAACCTGAGTTGGCAGAGAACGTTTATACCAAGCGTTGTGCAACAGATGATCCTGATCTAAACCGGGTTGGGTTTGTCAGGTGCATACTCAAACACTCAAAACTTACTCTGCAACTCTGAGTTTGTTCATCTCGCTTCGTGCTACAGGCCACTGAAAGCCCTACCTGTTTCTGATGCTCTTCAGCAGGTGGTGTGTGCCCTCTCCGAGATAAAGTCGAGTGTGTGTGCTTCTCTGCCTGACCTTGGCATGTCCGTCCAAACCTTGGCCAGCGCTGCCATACTGCAACACTCCACCACTGACGCGCTTAAACTCCTGCAGAGACAAAACTCCTGCAAACACACACCAGACACCACTCGAAATCAGCTACAGCTTCCATGTACCAATAACATCACATTCAGAAAGCTTATGCATCTATTTGGCCATTTAAAGGCAGGGTATGTGATTTTTCAAAAACACTTTAGAAAACTGATTCGGGCCGAATAGCAAAACAAACTTGTAGTCAATCAGCAATAAGGGGCGTGTCTACTCATCTCGTGATATTGTTGGAGAGAGCTTTCAGTGCATGGGACGGACATTAGCCGAGCTGAGCGACAGAAAGATAGAGATGGCAGATAAAAAACAAAAGAGGAAAACGTCTGCGGAACGATAAGGCAAGAAGTAGGACCCGTGTAAATATCGGATCAGCTTTCCAGCGCTGGAGAGAACTCAAGGAGCGGAGGCCTGCGATCGGACGCCGAGGTTGCTTTGTTTCTTCTGAATAGGTGAGTAACACCGTGTCTACAACAGCTAAAGTCTGCCTACACTGGACGCGATCAAACGACCGTTAAAAACCATTTGAAATTTGTGTCAGCACGTCATAAATAGAACCCGGCAGCAGTTTTCTGTCGGGGATTTGTTGCGCCGCACCACTCACGTCCGTAGACACGGTGTAACATTGGTTTTGCTTTGTTTCACAGAACTAATCGTTGCCTGGGTTGTGTACGTATATGTGGGGCGGAGCTATCAAAATAGGGGCAAGACCCTTTTGGGGTAGGGGCGTGTTTGTTTTGGTGATTTCAAATGTCAACATTGGCTACCAGAAATCACTTACTCTGCCTTTAAAGCAGAAAGTCATGAGGAAAATGTGTGTGGTGCAATACTAGTATATTGTGGGTGGTTGCTATGTGGTTGCTAAGATGTTTTGAATATTTTTAACGCATTTCCATGTGGTTGCTAGTGTGTTCTAAGTGGTTTCCTTCAGGTTCAGGTCAAATGAGCCCATTTACAAGTCTCTATGATATTCTGGTCTCTATAAATGGCTTGGACTCCTCCTTCATTGTAAGTCTTTGTAATTCATCAACAAGCCGCATTATTTGAGGTAGCAATCACGTCTGTAGCACAAATCTTAGATGGTGTGGGACAAGTTACATCTTTAGGGTTAGGGGTGTGTTTAAATCCTCAACATAAAGTATGTGCAACAGTAATAGCGATGATTGCCTCAGAAAACAGCACACGTAAAACATTACTGTTGATGCCAGTGTTACAATGAGCAAGGCGAGAAAAACAAGAATAGCATTTCTCTGTTTTTCTCCTTTATTCATGGGTCAGTGAGTCTTCACTCTTTCCCCTCCGGAACTGAACCACAGCGGGATGCTCTCCAGACAATAGAGCAGGGGGACCGGAAGAGGGGACGGTACCTCGGTTACACCGTATGCGACCGGATGTGTGTGTGTGTGTGTAACTCTCATATTAATGAGACTTTAATGAGTGACGATAGGATCCATCCGGAAGCTGCTAGAAAGCACTGCATGTTGTGTCACTGTGTCAGACCCACCACTCTCTCTCTCACAAACACACACACACACACACTTCACTTACCAGAAGGGCTGGTCTCCAACCCGGTGTGGATTTTCCGTAAATTGTATGAGCTCAGCCAAGATCCATCAGTCGAATGGGACAGACTCAAAATCTGCATCGGAACAGATGCTTTTAATTCTGGGAATGTTCATTTTTATTACTGTTTCTATCTCTCGGCTCTCTCCATATTCACTCAATATACCCAAAAATAGAATTCTGTCATCATTTCCTCACACTCATATTGTTCCAAACTGTATTATTTTCTTCCGTGCAACAACAAATGAGTTAAGCTTTCAAAGAAGCAATAAAAACTACAGTGTTTTGGGTAGGGCTGCAACTAACGATTATTTTGATAATCGATTAGTTGGCCGATTATTTTTTCGATTAATCGGATCTTCTTCATTCAGTAAAGATTTACTACCAAAACTGACTTTTTTGCAAAAGTGGAAGTGTTCGCGTGAATTTGTTACATTTACAGATAAGGATATGACCGTGAACTGAAAGTTTTTGCGCTGAGGACGAACATGCATCTGTCAAAGCGCCTGACAGGGCAAGCCATTACGCTAATGCAGGGGTGTCAAACTCAATTCCAGGAGGGCCGGAGCCCTGCAGAGTTTAGATTCAACCCTAATTAAACACACCTGATCCAACTAATCAAGTCCTTCAGGCTACTTTGAAAACTACATAGAATGTGTGTTGGAGAAGGGTTGGAACAAAACTCTGCAGGGCAAGAGGAATTGGAATCTCCAGGAATTGAGTTTGACACCCCTGCGCTAATGCATTAGGTTAAAGCTTAAAATAAAGAATTCTCAAGTTTTGGGCAGCTTGGATCACGTACTTCTCCCGCAGCATCTCATTCTGTTTCCTCCACTATTTTTAGATGCATTTTGTCCATAATGCGCTATTCAGTGCTGTAATTTGACGTGACCGGCTGAAGTTGGACGTTCACCGTGGGCAGACCTGACTAATCGATAATGAGAATCGTTGTCGATTATTTTCATTATCGATAGTAATCGATTTTATCGATTAGTTGTTGCAGCCCTAGTTTTGGGCAAAAATATATATGTACATATACAATGTATTTATATACACTGAAAGTAGGAGTGTGCAATAAAATAAAATAAAATTACGCGACACTAAAACCGCCAGTAGCTGTCAGCAAGTCCCTGTCTTAATGAGTGAATTATTGAATCATTCATTCAGACGATTCATTCAAAACAGTGGATTAATTTAGAAATGAAGCAAGTGACTATCTTTATGCATAGATCATTGAATCACTCACTCAAATGATTTGTTCAAAAACAGATTCAGTAATGAAACACTGCAGTGTTGCTCTGCTCCGACTTTGGAACTATTTTTGTTGGCGAAATAGAAAAAACAGACACTGTTGTGTCTAAAATTTAACTCACTCAATATTGACTTGTTGTTTGTTGAACTGTTGTATAAAATCAATCTCATTTGCAATTGCGCTCCCACACTAATATTCGGGAAAACGACACTCTTTTTTTGTGTGATATTACTAAACTGTCTTATCTTATAAATATTTAAAAAACGTCATACAAGGATATTTTACCTATATAACTTGAATTATATGGGCATTTCAACGGCATTCTAATAAGCTTCATCTACGTTAGTTTTTTGCGAAGTGAATGACATCCTCAATAATGTCAACTCACACATTGCTAAAACAACAATTACGATATTATCGTAGAAGATAAATATCACACACCCCTAACTGAAAGTCATTATCTCTGAAAATATTCCCGTCCACCACAACTCACACAGATTTGCAACAACGTGTGAGTAAAAAGCCGCGTTTCCACTGTCGGGCCAAAAGCGGGCATGCTAGTGCGTGCCGGGGCCAGTCGGGTTTCCACTGTCACTTCCGGGGCTTGATGGTGCCTCGTCGGTGCTTCCTCGGGGTCAATGGCCCGGGTTTTTTGGCCCGACGAAAACCTTGGGCCAAAGCGGGCCAGCTAGGGCTAAAGGAGTGGTTATGAACAAAGGCGGAGTTTCTCTGCGTCTGGAGAGCGTCAGCGCCGCGGATCATTTCATAAAGTTAACAGATAACACCAGCATTAAAGACTTTTAAAATAAGTTGAGCTCAAAACTCACTTTCAGACAGCAGTGAGTGTCTGAAATAACTTGATCCGATGTGGATTATGATCACCATACAAGGCAGAAATATTTATAAGCGATGCAAAAGACTATGCACGCTAGCCATTAACGTTACCATAGTAAACATGGTAAATACGACCGCTTGAAGAAATCAGACGTCAGTTATTCTCTAACACAATCGTGTATTTATTTAGTAACATATTTTATCGGTCATAAGTCTCGTCTCGAGAGTGTAGCTCCGCGTATGTCATAAAAATAATAATGTTTTTTGTTCGGGAGCTTTTATAAAAATATAGAAATGATCATTCTTTCTAAATGTAATGTATATAGGCACATATAATGTATATAATGACTACAAATAAACAGAAACAGACTCTACTGAATAAGTAGGTAGGCTATGTTCATACCGCTTTATTTCTGTGTGACTAATTTTCAATCCTGATAAATTAATTAATTATGATCAATGTATCACTTATTATTGTAAAACATTGATGCTTTTGGATTTAAATCTTTAACAAAGCATGCAAACAAACGGCCGCTTTTATCATGTTCGTTTTGTGATCGCGCTAGTTCCAGTGACTTATTTATTAGTTTTCTGATAACTTCTCTTTGTTGGTGAAATGATGGGGTTGCGTGACGTTGTTCCTGAGAGGC